AACACTGGTTTTGGCCCTGTGACTGGCCAAATGAGTGAAGTGTGCGGTGATTCTAAGATCGACGGCACTCATCTGCATGTCATACTGACTGACAGTATTATTTCTCTTCCCCAGCAGACTCCAAGGGCATTTAAATTAAAGGTACAGTGTTCTGCACTAATATTAAGTCTCTCTGAAGCCTAGAAACACCCTTTTTTAAGTTAAATTCACAGCGAATATATTCGACTCGAATCGAATATTGTCCACGAATTCGCCGAATCAGTCGAATCAAATTTTTGAATACTTCGCTCATCTCTAATCCCAAACCACGAGTCGGAACTCATGTAGGTTGAAAATGACTTAATATTTATTAAACACAGCTCAGTATATACAGCTTCACCCCCACCAGACAGCCTGGCACCGTTTTTTTCCCCACCCACAACAAAACCCTACAACCCAACAATACAGTATGAACTCTATAGGAGGGAAAGACTACAAGGTCACATTTCCCTAAACAAACAGTGCAGAAAGTCTGTCTACATACCAGCTGATAAATATATACAGCTTTACCAAGGGGAGAAAACTGAAACAGAAAGGGCAAAATGTTATCACAAAGGGGACAGTTTGTCACAGGGCACATTACGGCTGGTTTGAGTAGAGAAATATGGAAAACCGGGTGGATCTTATAAGAGTCGGGTAAGCCCAGCTCGAAGGCCACAGGGTTAATCTCTCTTTTAATTTTAAAGGGTCCAATGAACCTGCGACCTAGTTTTCTTGAAGGGCAATCAAGCTTGAGATTGGTTGTAGCAAGCCACACTGTCTCCCACACAGTGCTGCTCTACCTTTTGGTGAACTAGCGAGCACCAGCGGCCTAGTGCATCTGGTTTTTCACGTACCAGCACTGAAGTATGACTTGGCAACATGGTGAGTCCCATAAGTGCAGTACAAGCTGGTACATTGGCGAGCACAAGTAGTGTCCCACAGCCACAAGAATTTGCACACAGATCCGTAGAGCCCCTAGTATCCTTCCGAATGTGCTTGCAAATCCCGATTGGCAGTCCACAAATTCTGCAGCAACCATACTTCCCCCATTCACTGACCAACCTGGAATTTAGGTGGAAACAGCAAATTTAAATACTCCCCTTGATTTTTTTAAACTTTTTCACGGACGATGTTAGGGACCACCGCGACGCATGAGTCTGCACATGCGTAGGTGTCCGACAAGACATGCAGGCAGGTGGGCACTAGGACCCAGGCGCGCCTGTCAGCGCCGGGTGGGCTACTTAAACCAGCTCTGCACAGACTCAAGTTGCTATATGGTCTGATTATCCGGTTCCTGTGTATCTGCTGATTGACTTGTTGCCGACCTTGCTTGATCCTGACCTCCGCTGACCATCTCCTGCTCTGACTCCTGGCTTGTTTGACCTCTCTTCTGGACATTCCTTATTTGATCTGAACTCCTGTTACCGACCTCGGCGAGTGACCTGACTGCTCTTCTGCCTGCTACTATGCTGACCCCACTGTTACTGACCCGGCCCGTTTGATCACGCTCACCATCCATCCATCCATCCTGCACGGATCTAGCCATCCCTGCTTCCGCCTTCTGCCTCTTCACATCAGGCTCTCCACCTGCATAGACTTCTGGCAGATTCCTCTACCTCAGGCAGGTGTACTCAGGGGCCGCGACCTGGTTCCTGTCTTCTCCAAGTCCATCCCCACCATCAGGGGCCCTGGTGAACAAGCAGAATGGGGCTTAGACTCCGCGCTCTGGGGAATCCTGTCCTGTATACTGCTAGAGGTACAGCCAGGTGGTTGCTAACAGGCGATCTGTATGCATTGATTGTGGATCAAAGCGATTTATATGTGCAACAGTTTATTGCCGCCAACCCAAATTCAGACTCTGTGTTTTGCCAGACCATTCGCATGGAAAACCCATTACAGTTTCTGAATTTACATTTTTTGGGGGCCTAACCCTCAACATGGGCATTACTAAAAAAAATGTATTGCGGTTGTATTGGTCCACAGACCCAATTCATCATATGCCCATGTTCTCTGCTGCTATGGCCAGGCATAGATATGAGAGTTTAATGTGTTTTATGCATTTCAATGACAACACACTCTATCATCCTTGGGGTGATCCTGAATTTGACACGGCTCCACAAAATTCGCCCCCTCGTAAATCACTGTCACCGAAAAAATTGCCACGGCAGCTGGTGTTGTTGAGAAGCCCCTCTGTGTCCATGACTATAACTAGAGATGAGCGAATCGAAGTAGGCGAAGTGGAATTCGAGTCGAATATCGGAAAATTTTCGATTCGCGCCGAATCCGAAAAATAGCCTACTTCGGACGCGCGAATCAAAATTTTTCCTAAAATGGCGGCGGACATGTGCGGCGACGGAGCGGGGATGTCTGGGAAGGCGCGCAGACAAGGCGCGCTGACCCATAATGCATTCCTTAATGACATGTGATCGCATCAGCCAATCAGCAGCCAGCCAGCCAGCACTGTGTAATGGTCGAGCTATAAATAGCGGCCATTTTGGAATTCTTCATTTGCCTCCAGTCATTGAACAGAGGCAGACCGCTCTGTATTAGGGACAGAGTTAGGGCCACAGAAACGTTACTTGGGGACAGAGAAACGTTACTTAGGGACAGAGAACCATTACTCAGGGACACAGAATTGTTAATGAGGGCCACAGAATCGTTACTTAGGGACAAAGAAACGCTAGTTAGGGCCACAGAATTGTTACTCAGGGACAGACAGAATTGTTACTGAGTGCCAGAGAATTGTTACTTAGGGCCACAGAAACGTTATTAGGGCCACAGAATTGTTACTCAGGGACAGACAGAATTGTTACTGAGTGCCAGAGAATTGTTACTTAGGGCCACAGAAACGTTACTTAGGGCCACAGAATTGTTACTCAGGGACACAGAATTGTTACTGAGGGCCACAGAAACTGTTACTTAGGGCCACAGAAACGTTAGAATTGTTACTCAGGGACAGACAGAATTGTTACTGAGGGCCAGAGAATTGTTACTTAGGGCCACAGAAACTTTAGTTAGTTTACTTACTCAGGACACACAGAATTGTTACTGAGGGCCACAGAATTGTTACTTAGGGACAGAAACGAGTTAGGGCCACAGAATTGTTACTCAGGGACAGACACAGAATTGTTACTGAGGGCCACAGAATTGTTACTTAGGGCCACAGAAACTGTTAGTTAGGGCCACAGAATTGTTACTCAGGGACAGACACAGAATTGTTACTGAGGGCCACAGAACTGTTACTTAGGGCCACAGAAACGTTTACTTAGGGCCACAGAATTGTTACTCAGGGACACACAGAATTGTTACTGAGGGCCACAGAATTGTTACTTAGGGCCACAGAATTGTTACTCGCACAGACACAGAATTGTTACTCAGGGACACAGAATTGTTACTGAGGGCCACAGAACTGTTACTTAGGGCCACAGAATTGTTACTGAGGGACCACAGAATTGTTACTCAGGGACACAGAATTGTTACTGAGGGCCCACAGAACGTTTACTTAGGGACACAGAATTGTTTACTGCAGGGACACAGAATTGTTACTGAGGGCCACAGAATTGCAGACAGAATTGTTACTCAGGGGACACAGAATTGTTACTTAGGGCCACAGAATTGTTACTTAGGGACCACAGAATTGTTACTCAGGGACACAGAATTGTTACTGAGGGCCACAGAATTGTTACTTAGGGCACACAGAATTGTTACTGAGGGACCACAGAATTGTTACTTAGGGCCACAGAATGTTTTACATAATTGTTACTCAGGGACACAGAATTGTTACTGAGGGCCACAGAATTGTTACTTAGGGCCACAGAATTGTTACTCACAGACACAGAATTGTTTACTCAGGGACAGACACTGAGGTTACTGAGCCACAGAATTGTTACTGAGGGCCACAGAAACCGTTACTTAGGGCCACAGAAACGTTAATCAGGGACACAGAATTGTTACTGAGGGCCACAGAACCTGTTACTTAGGGCCACAGAATTGTTACTCAGACAGGACACAGAATTGTTACTCAGGACAGACACAGAATTGTTACTGAGGGCCACAGAAACTGTTACTTAGGGCCACAGAATTGTTATTCAGGGACAGACACAGAATTGTTACAACAGGGCCACAGAATTGTTACTGAGGCCACAGAAACCGTTACTTAGGGCCACCACATAACGTTAGATCAGGGACACAGAATTGTTACTCAGGGCCACAGAACCGTTACTTAGGGCCACAGAATTGTTACTCAGGCCACAGAATTGTTACTGAGGGTTAACTGTTACTTAGGGCCACAGAATTGTTACTCGGACAGACACAGAATTGTTACTCAGGGACACAGAATTGTTACTCAGGACACATAATCGTTGAATTAAAGAGTATGTCAGACAACATGCAGAGGAGTGGCAGAGGAGGCAATGTTTTAGGAGCGAGCAGACGTGGCAGCAGAGGAAGGGGTCGAGGCAGCACTATTCGCAGCCAGAGGCCAGTGCTCCCGGTGTCATCCAGCGGTCGTGTCTCCACCGACAACCCTGCCGTCATCGATTGGTTGGCTCGGTCGTCTTCCTCTTCCCAGGTCACCTCTGACACCTACAGCCAACGGTCGGTGGGTACGTCAGACACAACCGTTAGTTGGCATGGCCCGGGAGCAAGCCCACTGAAATCACATGTCCTCTACCTGCCCCTGTCCTTTGCTGTTCCCTCACCAAGCGAAGTATCGCATGCTGTGGGCTCAGCCCCACTGTACAGTGAGGAAGAGCTAACAGAGGGCGGTCAGGAACGGGGGGAGACATCGGCCTTTTCAGCAGCCAGGCGAAAGAAGTACTGGCGAGGAGAGTGGCTCGGTAGCCGGTCTAGAGACAGGTCTGTCTCCTGACCCAGACGCAGCCGAGGGGGCTAGTAGTGAGGCGGAGACCGTACTTGATGATGAGGAGGTTGATCGCACTTGGCTGCCTCGTCGTCATCAGGCAATTTCTTCCGCATCATCAGGAGAAGAGAGGGTGCCAGCTTGGCAGCGAGCGAAACAGTCGGTGGGTTGCCCAGGAGGCAGCAGGGTCGCATCAGTGTCAGTGGAGCCAAACGTCCACGGAGTAGAGCACCAGCTCCACTGCAGCCTACCACCACGGCCAGTAGTGGTGCCGGTGCGCACGGAGGAAGTAGCAGTCAGCCAGTGAGGAGTAGCGGGGGCAAAGTTTCCTACTCGGTGGTGTGGCAATTTTTCGTCAAGCCGCCCGAGGAAGTAAACGTAGCCGTATGTCGACTATGTGGCCAGAAATGCAAGCGTGGCCAGGGGGCCCATGTTGGGACTACAGCGTTGCGTCAGCATATGCAGCGTCACCATTCGGTGGCCTGGGAAAACCGTGATAAAGATACGGCGGTTCTGCCTGCCCCAGCCCCCGCTCCATCACCCGCTCCGTTACTTGCTCCGTCACCCGACGTCGTCAATCGCCCTCTATCAGCCAGTCAAGGCTCCAACACCTCTGCTGAGGGGAGTTGTCGCTCGTTGGCATCTTCCGCTCGTTCAGATGCTCCTTTCTCCTGCTACTCCTCTTCTCGGATTCCGTCAACAGTCTTTCTTGGAATCCGTTTCCAAGAGACAACAGTTTGCGAGCACGCACCCGACGGTGCAAAAGCTGAACGTCCTCCTGTCCAAGTTGCTGGTGCTGCAGTCCCTCCCTTTCCAACTGGTGGACTCAGCACCTTTCCGAGAAATGATGGCTTGTGCCGCGCCGCGGTGGAGAGTGCCAAGCCGTCATTTCTTCGCCCAAAAAGGCAGTGCCAGCCCTGCATTCACATGTAGAAGAGATGGTGGGCCAGTCTTTGAGCATGTCGGTCTCTGCCAAAGTGCACGGCAGCGCCGACGTGTGGAGCTGTAACTACGGTCAGGGACAGTACATGTCATTTACGGCCCACTGGGTGAACGTGGTGCCGGCAGCCAGCCGCACCAGCAACTTGGACAGGTCACGACGCTTTTGCCTCCACGTTTGCACGTCCTTGGTCCAGCAAACATGTCCGCCTCTACCACCTCTTTTTCCGCCGTGTCCTCAGCCGCCACCCCCGTGCCAAGTCCCATTACCCGACCGGCATATCACATGTGCAGGGCGCAACGGTGTCACGCTGTGCTGCACCTGGTATGCCTTGGCGAACGTAGTCACACAGGGGAGGAACTTCTGAGTGTAATGAACAGAGAAATCGACAGATGGCTGTCTCCGCGCAAACTAAAAATCGGAACCATGTTGACCGACAACGGAAAGAACATGGTGTCTGCTCTGCGTCAAGGAAGGTTGTGCCATGCGCCATGCATGGCTCACGTGTTCAATCTGGTTGTCAAGCGGTTCCTAAAATCCACCATCCCACTGCAAGACATCCTTAAAATGTCACGTAAACTGTGCATGCATTTTTCAGCCATTCCTACACCGCAAAGAACACCCTCATTGAGCTGCAGCGGCAGAACGGAATTCCACAGCATCGCCTGATCTGCGACGTTGCAACAAGGTGGAATTCAACCCTACACATGTTAGACCGCCTTTACGAGCAGCGAAAGGCCATCACCGATTTCCTGATGTTACAAGCGGATAAAGGTACTCCCCTGTGTAACTTAGATGTCAGCCATTGGCAGCTCATGCGTGACACCTGCCGCTTGCTCAGGCCCTTTGAGGAGGCCACGCTATTCGTGAGTCGGCAGGACTATGGGATGAACGACGTC